ACCTCAAACGGGGTTTTCCTCGGTTGAGATTGACTGAGGCAGCTTTATTACGGGCCAATGAATATTGTGAAATTTTGTTAAGTGCAGTTTAGATCACTCGCCTGAGTCAAAAGTGTTTCAAGGGGTAGACTGCAATTTAGGAATACAAGAATGCGATGTTTGGACAACAACAAAAAGCACCCCGATGGAAGCTGTGCACTAGCAGCACGGTGGCATTGATGGATGACGCTACCATAGCGTTGTACGTAAAAGAAGCATTGCACGAGGTACCAAAAACGTTATCAAAATTCTTCAATTAACTTTTCTGGTTTAGACTACAAAGGAGGACATAACGAAAATTGCCGACAACGTGCTGGAAGAGTTTCGCAAAAAACTCAAAACTACCGACTGGATTGATGATGAAACTAGAAGCGTAAGCTAACTGACGAAAGGTAAAGTGACTGAACACTGTCCTGCAGGAAGCTTTGAACAAGGTGGATCATATGCTGCGTCAAATAGCTTACCCAAAGTTTGTTCTAGACATAGGAATGCTCGACAAGCATTACCGCGATGTGAGTAAACACCTACATTGGCTATTTGCGAATTTGTACGAGATGATTTAGTTGAATGTGCATGACACCGATTCGCTCAGTGAAATGTGGGAGAAGCTGACTCGATGGCATATCGAGCACTACTTCGAAAAACTAATTGACGTCCGGAATCGTTTCGTAGCCTTCAACCCAGCCAATGTTAAAGCATTTTACACTCCAGACACAAACTCCTTACGTAAGAGCACACACCTCATGCTTTTCATGCTCTCCCGCCCTATGCTTCCGAAGCTGATTATCGCTGGAAAAACTGGTGTTTTCAGAAATTGCTGCCGGCATTCTTCATCCTCCCTTTTTCCATAACACTTTCCCAAGGCTAGTTTTAAGTTTAACAATTACGATTGTTACCACAAGTAGGACCTTAATTATCAAACTGAAAATCGAATGCAGTAGTGCTCATAATTTTAAGAAAATTTTCAACTGACGAAGTACTAAGATAAAACGAGTTATCAGTTCGTATGTACAATTGGAGAAACCATATTCGCGCACACATCGAGTGTTTGCTTATGTTGAGAGTCTAGCATGTCACTACTGACGCATGGCATTGTTTTTCAGTCTCAGTTTTCAAAAGCAGAAGCGTGGATGAAGTGCTCATATAAAACTTATGCTGAGAAATGATTCCATTACTTCATGAAAATATTTGATGTGAAT